GGCCGGGCCCCGGCGGCGGGAGGGGGGGGGGCGCACGGGAGAGGGGCCAGCGGAGGGCGACCGAAACGATTTGGGGGCTGGAGCACGTGACCTTCGAGGAGAGGCTGAGGGACTGGGGCTTGTTTAGTCTGCAGAAGGGAAGAGTGAGGGAGGTTTGATGGCAGCCTTCCCACCCCTGAAGGGAGGTGTCAAGAAAGATGGAGAAACATTTTCTTAATGGTGGCAGATGGCAGAATGAGGAGCAATGGTCTCAAGTTGCAGACAGGGAGGCCTAGGTTGGATATAAGGAAAAGCTTTCCCTAGGAGGGGGGTGAAGCACTGGGATGGGTTACCTAGGGAGGTGGTGGAATCTCCATCCTTAGAGGTTTTTAAGGCCTGGCTTGACAAAGCCCTGGCTGGGATGTTTTATGAGTATAGGCCTAGGTCTTCAACGGGGCACCCGATGATGACGTCACGCCATTGACAGCTGTGCAGGTGGGGGCGCCAATCGCGTGTTCCGCCAGGAGCTGCCGCAGCCTCCAGCCACCAGGTGCCACAGGACTCCTCACCGCTTTTGCAGATTCAGACTAACACGGCTACCCCTCTGATACATGGAATTAGTCAGTTAGTCAAAAAACGCAGTTGTGATCAACCCCAAACTAATTTGTGAATTTGCCAGAAGTTTGCTAAATAGTTTGGGACAGAAACTCCTCCCTCCCCCCACACATACACACTCACAAAAACAGCTGAAGGGAAGGGTTGACAAAACCCTGACTGGGATGATTTAGTTGGGGTTGGCCCTGTTTTGGGCAGGGGGGTTGGACTCAATGACCTCCTGAGGTCTCTTCCAGCCCTTTGATTCTATATGTTGGGCCCAGTGGCCCTCCAGAACTATTAAGTCGGTATAAAGAGGGACTTGACTGGAGCGGTTGCACATCTCCATTGGGGAAACGCTTCCAGGCTGCGCTGAGAATATCCATGTGTCTTGACAGTCCTGAAACGTCCACCCCTACAGCACTTAGTTTGTACCATTCCAGGCTTCCACTGGAAGCCCACGCTAAGCTCAATAGGTGTGTTTGTCTTGGAAACCCCCCTTGCAAGAATTTTTCCTTTAGAGGCACGAGACATTACAAAGCCAGGAGGAGACATCAGTTTGAGCGTAGACTTTTTGCAGTTTAACCACTTTCGCTACGTGCCGTGGTGGTGTCTTCTAGCAGCTAGTCACTGACACCGAAAAACCGAGAGCTATCTGGACAGACAGAATGGACAGAGATGTGCCTTGTCTGGACTGTCAAACAGCTGTTGTACAATTACGCATCCAAGACTTGACTTTTAATTGAATTGTAATTGTTTTTATTTCTCTCCTCCATTAGCAACTGAAACAGCAGCGGGATAAACTCAAGCAGTATCAGAAAAGGATCACTCTGAATCTGGAAAGAGAGAGAGATGTGGCGCGGCAGCTCCTGAGAGATGGGAAAAAAGCGTAAGTGAGGAGCTACAGCTTTTGATCCATGAAAGGCCTGAGATGGCAGAGGGGACAGTGTCCTTACAATACAAAGGGATCTTTGTGGTTTCAAACATCTGGAGTAAAGTTACCAGGAAATGTTTGTGAAGCATAGAATATAAATGAGTTCAGGGGATAAACAAGGCTGCTTCCACTCTACTCTGCACTGATTAGGCCTCAGGTGGAGTGTTGTGTCTAGTTCGGGGCACCGCATTTCGAGAAAGATGTGGAGAAATTGGAGACGGTCCAGAGAAGAGCAATAAAAATGATTAAAAGTCTAGAGAACAGGAGCTATGAGGGAAGGCTGAAGGAATTGGGCTTTAGCTTTGAAAGGAGAAGACTGAGGGGGAACATAATAGCAGTTTTCAGGTATCTAAAAGGGTGTCCGAGGGCGGGGATGGGGGGAAATTGTTCTCCTTGGCCTCTGAAAATAGGCCAAGAAGCAATGGGCTTAAATTGCAGCAAGGGAGGTTTAGGTTGGACATTAGGAAAAACTTCCCACCTGTCAGGGTGGTTAAACACTGGAATAAATTGCCTAGGGGGATTGCGGAATCTCCATCAATGTAGATACTTAAGAGCAGGGTGGACAGACACCTGTCAGGGATGATCTAGACCAGCGTTCTCCACTTTTTCAACTTAAGTGCAATGTAAGATCTACTTCAAACCCAAATACCCTTGCCCCGCTTCCTTCCCGCCCCTTCTCCGAGGCCCTGCCTCTGCTCCACCCCTTCTCCGAGGCCTCACCTGCTCACTCCATCCCCCTTTCTCCCCCATCCTCACTCACTTTCACCAGGCTGTAGTAGGGGTTGGGGTGCCGGCTCTGATATTGGGCCAAGGAATTTGGAGTGTGGGAGAGGCTCCGGGCTTAGCCCAGGGTGGGAGATTAGGGTTGAGGAGGGATTTCAGGGTGCAAGCTCTGGGAATAAGTTTGGGTGCAGGGGGACTCATGCCTGGGCCAGGAGGTTGGGTTCAGGAGGAGATTCAGGAAGCAGGCTCTGGCTGGGCAGTGTTTAACTGAGACGGCTTCTGGGTGGTGGAGTAGTGGGGTTAAGGAAGGTTAAGCAGCTGGCATATACACTAATGCCATCCACATCCAGGAGCAGCAGTTACCACAGGGATAATGACTCCAGACGTGACAGGTTCGGCATTTTAGAACTCACTGCTCAAAGAATTAAATTAAGCGTAAGAGAGAAATGAAAATTATGAAATGCACAGACCAGTCCAAAATAAAAACCAACACACTTTGAAGTAAAACAGCCCCCCACATGTGTGTTGGGTCAGGAGATGAATGAAGGACAGCGTGTGTTTGTGAGAATGACAGACACACACAGTGTGTGAGACTGACAGATTTGCATTGGCAAGCTCCCTCCATCCTCCTTTCACTGTGTGGAGTTATGGTACAGAAATGGGGGGAGGAGGGACACCCTGACATCAGCGCCTCCCCTCTTCTCCCTCCCACACCCTGCACAGTAAACAGGAGGCTGCTAGGGGGACAGCTCCAAGGCAGAGGGCAGGAGCAGCAGGACAGTGGGTAGAGGGGCCACTGAAGTGTCCGCACTCGATAGCTTCCAGGCCAAACCAGTCAGGATCCCCTGTCAGAGGCTCAAGATCTACCACTGATGTAGACGGTGCTTGGTCCTGCCGTGAGGGCAGGGGACTGGACTCTCGAGGTCCCTTCCAGTTCTAGTGTTCTATGATTCTGTGCTTTCTATAGAAGAGGTCAGGTTACAAAGTAGGTTTGAGAGCTGGTGTGCTAAGGTCTGAAGGACTTTGCCTGAGAGATTCAAGGAGGGTTTGCAAAAATCGACACTAGTCGTATCATCTTCAGTGTCCAGCGGCCATCGGCTCATGCTGTCATTTGATTTGTGTGAGCCCTTGGGTGCACCAACCCCTGCTAGGACTTGTAGTTCCCATGAATTGAAGTACAGGTCGAACCTCTCTAATCCGGCACCCTCAGGACTGGACTGGTGCTGAACTAGAGAATTTGCCAGATCACAAGATGTGAATATTGTCCAGCAGCATCACTAACGCTCCTTCTGCTTAGTGGGCTCTTAGACAATGTTTAGGGGTAAATTAGAGCTAAAGAACCGCACAGAACACAGAGCGCCAGGGCTGGTGGCTGGAAACAAACTTTACAGGACACTGGAAGCCTTGGTCATGCCCATGATAAGCAGACATCCAGCAACTAAAATTACGCTGGACCATGGATGTTGCTGGACCAGAGAGTTCTGGACTACAGAGGTTCAACCTGTCGTGATTTCCTTTTCCTACAAATTGCCTGGGTTCTACAGGCTCCAATCATGTGGTCCATGATTGGGCAAAATTGGACACCCCTGGTTAGAAATACCTCTTCGGTGAGCTGTGTTGCTGGCTTTCACTGCAGAGGGAAATGCTTAATCTCTTTGTCCTTTAAGAAACAAAGCTCTTTTATTTTGTTGGGAAGATTACAAAATTAATTAGTCATCTTAAATACGCCAAAACAATGCATGCAAAAAGTCAATCTGAGAAGCATGGCTCAGCTTGTTTTTAGTTACAAAGAGACAATATTTATCTGGATTCATCTGCAGGCAGGCTTTGGAGAGCAGAATCTGGGACCGAAGGAATTGGTGGCATCTTTGGACTTTGATCCTAACTTCCATAATGTCAAGGAACGGCAAAGGGATGGCTATGTCTTGATTTAACGTGGTGGTGGTGCCTAAAATTTGCCCTTTAGATTGAAATTTTATAAAGACAGCCTTTTATAAAAGCTCATATCTGTACAAATATGTACCCAATTGAACAAAAAAACTAATGGATGTGATATTTTGATAGCGCCTACTCAATGGAACCTTGACCTGAGTGCTCTGCTTGCTATTATAATGCAAATAAACTCTGCAGTGTGTGAAATTCAGACATTGCAGTTCTGAGATCCTGAAAGGGAAACTATCTTTAGTCATTGTCTTTGTCCAAGCTGAGAGAAATGCTGAAAGTAAACAGAGCACAATTAGTGATGTGTAAGTTGTTTTTGAAACTTCTTTCACTATTCGTCATTAGAATCTGAGCCTAGTTGTGGGTGGGTTTTTTTGTTTTGGTTTTTGGGTTTTTGTACTAATCTTCCCAAAGGGCGTACAGTCCAGTCTAACGTCCTTTTGAGTTGTACTTTAGAACGCCAGTATGCACACGGCTATTTCATTGAGCTTTTCTGGTTAGTCGGTTGGGCATTGGGGCCAGGTCTTACGATGCTTCCTCCCAGCCCACAAGTGTTTTAAAATTCCCAGAAATGCTCAGTTCATCTTCCTGCTTCATTATGACATAGCTATCCACAAAGCACAAGTCCCAATGACCAGCGAACAGATCTGAGACTCTTGCATGGTGGAAAAGCCTGAGGGTTAGCTGTGTTAGTCTGTAACTTCAAAAACAAGAAGTACTCCCGTGACACCTCAGAGCAGGGGTGAGCGATAATTTTTGTAGGGGAGCCACTTCACCAGTGTTGATACTGGTCACGGGCTGATTCCAGAAGGGGCAGGGCCTGAGGCGGAAGGGGCGAGTCCCTCAAGGCACTGCGTGCGGAGGGAGGAGACTTAGCACATTTCCCTGCGCCCAGGCCCCAATTGGCCTGCAGGCAGGGGAGCACACAAGGTCCTCCACCCACCGCCCAGGCAGGGCATGCCACACCTAGAGGGAACTGCCAGCCGTTTTGAACAGCTGGCGGTTCCCTC